GTATGAAGAGTTTTTTATCTACAGCAAATCACTTTACATCCATTGACACATTATTTAAAATGCAAATAAAATACTATATATGTGCATTTAATTTGCATTATGTTTTTTTCTCAGGCTACAGCTTGTTCCTGGTGGCAGCACATGAGTTTGGTCATGCTCTGGGTTTGGAACACTCCCAGGATCCCGGAGCACTGATGGCTCCTGTTTACACTTTTACAAAGGACTTCCGTCTTTCTCAGGATGATATCAGTGGCATTCAGGAGCTCTATGGTAAAGATTTAAACGACAATTTAGCAAAACACCAAACATATGAAAACACAATTTAATTGTATTGTTACTTGTTAAATACAGGAGTGCCAACAGACAAACCAATGCCACCCACACAGGGCCCAGTTACTCCCATGGACATCTGTAATGAACCTGTTGTCTTTGATGCTGTGGCCCAGATCAGAGGAGAGACATTCTTCTTTAAGGACAGGTAAACATTAAATCACATTAAATACTGGACCTAAGTTCCTTTAAATTATACACTATCAATAGGAACACGTAATAATAATAGTGAATACTGTTCCCACATGTGCAAGAAAACAATTACTACCTAGATAACATCTCAAGACCCATAAAATGTTCTTATTTTAATTACCTCTGGCTGACCATGTGCAACTTTAAAAATCCAAAAATGTTTATTTCTTCATATGAAACACATGAAGAATCAAAATTGTGTTTCTCATTCCCAAGCGTATACATAAATAATAATAAATGGAAAAGTCCATGTGTTCTTTGGGGAGACGCAGATTCCTAGGTTCTTGGCAGCCTTGTGGTTAGAGAGGTGAGAGAGTTCAGCATCCTAACAGCCTAGTGGATGAAGCTGTTAGTGAGTCTGGTGGTGTGGGAACAGAGGCTCCTGTACCTCCTCCCAGAGGGCAGGAGACTGAACAGATTGTGTGCGGATTGGCTTGCATCACTCACAACTTTCCGGGTGAGGTGGGTGATGTATACGTCTTGCAGGGAGGGGAGTGGTGCACCAGTGATCTTCTCGGCACTGTTCACTATGCGCTGCAGGGCTCTTCTGTCGTGGTCAGTGCAGCTTCCGCCCCACACGATGATGCAGCAGGAAAGGATGCTCTCATTGGTTCCTCTGTAGAATGTGGTCATGATGGGTGGTGAGTCATTTGCCTGCCTGAGTTTTCACCGGAAGTAGAGGTGCTGCTGGGCTTTCTTCACCACTTCTTGCAGTGTTGGTGGTCCAAGAGAGGTCCTCACTGATGTGTACCCCCAGGAATTTTGTGCTGCTCACTTTCTCCGCAGCAGCATCGATGATGATCAGTGGAGGGTGTTGGGCGTGTCCTCTCTGGAAGTCAACAGCAATCTCCTTAGTCTTGCTGACATTCAGCTGGAGGTTGTTGTCTTTGCAGCAAGTAGTCAGAAGGTCAATATAACAATATAGCAATATAATGTGTTAAAAAAAGGGATGGTACATATTTATGCATGTATATATGTGTGTATGTATGTATGTCTAAACTCCTTTCTGCCATTTCAAGCCTAGATAAAACTTTCGATTTTTATAAGGTGACTAACTTTATTCTTCAGAATTTCTTGAATTTTCCATGATGTAATTTGTTGTTCTTGATTTCGTCCACCTCAGCATAACTGTATGTGTGTCTGTCTGCAGTTATACTGACAGGACCATTATAAAGACCAAGCTACTGTTTAGTGCACGCCCAGATTTAGAGTTGTTTTTTTACTAACAACAGGTTTCAAGCGTGTGCTTTGTTTGTAACTGTACAAAAATATGTTGATCCACATATCTAAATTATATGCAGATCTTAAATTTGTTTTTTCTTTACAGTTTTATATAATATAACTCGATCTTTGAAGTTGTGATGTTCTCTTTTGTTCCTAAAATTGGGTCAATGGAAAAGTATTGAGACACTGTCGTTGTTGTACAGCTGTGTATTGGAAATCTGTGCATGATGGGTCTTGTTCCACTGGCGTCGGCAGCCTTAGCCCTAACGAGAACCAGATGCTCATGAATCAGGCCATTGTGGCTGCTTCCACTGGTGTAGTGCTTGCACTAAAATCCCCCCATAAAACATGCATTGCACCTCATAGCTCCTCCTGTCTTTTACCTCCTCTCTTCGATTATCAACAATACATCACCTAGACCAATATTTTTATCTGTATCTGCCAGGTTCGTGTTCAGGTCAGTGAACTTCAGAAGCAAGCCAAGTGGACCTATGCTTGTGGGTACCTACTGGCCAGACCTTCCTACCAAGATTGATGCAGCCTACGAAAATCCAGATGAAAAAACAGTATTCTTTGCTGGTAGGTTAGACAAATCAAACATTGGTTCTAACAGCATCTAAGTGCTACACTTTTTGATAACTCTTTGCAAATACTATTGCACAAACATTTCCCAATGTTGGAATGTTGGCTTAGCTCTCATGTGTGGTCTTGCTCTTGGGAAACTTAAGGCGCCTTCCCCTAGTTATTCGTGGTTTATGACACGTTTTCAGAAATGAATTAATGTGACAATTTTCCTGAATACTGATGAGGTTTGGTTTTAGTTTAGTTTTTTTTTTTTATATTCAGCTTATTTGCTGACTGTAGGCTAGACATTTTTTATGTAACTTACTCTAAGGAGTACAAACTGATTTACCAGAATCTATCATCATTTGTGAAATCAATTGTAAAATGTGTTTAATGCATTGTAGGAAATGAGATGTGGGTGTATAAAGCAGATGAATTGGAAAGAGGTTATCCCAAGAGGATCTCCAGTCTTGGTCTGCCCTCCGATATCCAGCAGATTGATGCTGCTTTCAACTTCAGGAAAAACAGGAAGACCTACCTGTTTTCTGGAGACCAGTTCTGGAGGTTGGCAATACTCTATATTTCAATTTCAATTTGAACATGGCTAAATATGTGGGTTTTAGATGATATCACTTTATAGGCCAATAATAAATGCATATTGGGGGCAGCTAAAATGAAAACTGTTACATGTAATTATTCCTAATGAGAGTATGGCATTATTACAATCTGTCTGATAACCACCAATGTCCTTATTTGCATGTTTTTGTAGATATGATGACAGCAGACAGTCAATGGATCCAGGCTTTCCGAAACTTATTGCTGATTCTTGGAATGGCATCCCGGACAACATTGACTCTGCCTTCAGCCTGAATGGAATTGGTAAAATATTTAGATTCTAAATTGTTCTTATTAAGGGGGAAATTCAGCTTCTTGTGTTGTACATGCTTACATAATATAAAATTTGACCCAGTGTAATGTATGCGACTCTTCAGATAGTAGCAGCTTGTTTGCATTATGGGCTAACTAACGTACATACAGTAAACACCCTAGTGTAAATATTATAAGGCCCCTTCCTTCAGAATAGGGTTATAAAGCAGGGCTGTGTTGCTTCACAGACATGCTTTTGTATGTATCATTTACATAATTCAACTAACATTCTAACATTAACGCGTTTAATTCTGCTTGGTTAGTTTGATTTTTTTATTTTATTTTTTTTACTGTATAGGTTAAGTTGCATAAAACAACGTGTTTCTCAATTGCAATCTAGTTTTAACAAGAACCTGCTTACTTGTCTTTTTCAGATTACAGCTACTTCTTCAAAGGCAACCACTATTTCAAATTGGAAGACAGCAGCTTGAAGATTGTTAAACTTGGTGAAATCACAAAAGACTGGCTGGGTTGTTAAGCCTTTTCAAACCACGCATAACTGGTATAGCAGTGATGTCCTGCATCTGGACATTGCCACACTTAATGAAGTATCCTATCCACCAACACTGCCTTTTAGGCTATATAATGAGGTTGCAACGTTAGCTGAAGGCCCCTCTGAAAACTCAACATAGGCAAGAGGATATATGATACATTATTGATACTGTCTTATTTTGACAGTTTTACCAGTTTCTGTTTCAACCAATGTCTGACTGGATTCCCTTTTGTTGTTTTTGATTTTTTGTTTACTAAGACATCAGGTATGTCCACAATGCACTGAACACAGTGCTGTAATATGCTGTGACATAGTAGTGCCTTTTACGCAATACCAGTAAGACTTACAATAACATGTAAGCTGTCTCCATTGTTTGTATGATTTTATTCTTTGTTTTTTGTGCAATACATTTCATTTAACTGAATGTGCACAATATGTCTGACCGAAAATGGTGCTTTAGAATTAGCTTTTGCTTGCTGTCCTTAACATGTACAGATAATGTTTTCTGTGTAACCATGGATGGGACTACTTAGAGGTTTGTGGAAGTGGTAAGTAGTGTTTGCAGACATAGACATCTTGTATTTACCTAGCACTTTGTATTGGGCTGTGTGTGGCTTTGTATTATGGAAGCCAGTATATTGCTAAAATTACTTTTTTGATTTCCAGAGAAAGATTTTAAGGCACAGGTTGCCTCAAGAAGATGTTCAGGTTGTTGCATAGTTATACTGATGTTTTATTACTTACATTTTTGTACTGTAGATGTTGCTGTGTTGGGCACTTTGTCATCAGTTAAGATGGTCAATAAATTACATTTGAGATTTTGCGAGTTTATTTTGAGTTCAAATAAGTGCCACGGTGCTAATGTAAATGTAAAAAACAGCCATGTGTAAAATTAATCTTCAGTAATGTCAATATGTACATGTCATTTGTCATGGTGCATAAACAGTCCTTTTTGGGGGCGATAATCATATAACGTTCTTAAATTTCATGGCAATGTCCGCGTGTTGTCACTATCACTAGTCTATCCTCACTATGTAAACATTTAGAATCAAATACTGCCCTCTTCTGGGTATCCACAATATCACACATACAACATTTCGCATGTGATCACTCTAAAAACATCTTTACTTTTATCATTTCTCGTAAATTAACAATTTATCTGTAAGCCTTTAAAATCGTTTATAATTAGGCAATCATATTGTTTATGCACGTCGGATAGGTGTGACACTACAGTGGTCCAGTAGGTGGCGCTTGCAAATCCAGACTTGTTCCGCTTTACGCGTGTGCGCTTGTGTGGGGGGGGATATAGCCGTAATGGTACAGTGCACATAAGGAAAAGCGGCCTGAGTCCAGGAAGTAAAGTGACATGATAACCTAAGGGTTGGTCACCTCTTCGCTATTCTTGGTTTTACGCTTTGGAGAGCGCTATGCCGACGCAGCGAGTGTCCGCTTTGCCTCGGCAGCAATCCCTTCTCCTGCCCGCGGTTATCAACCCCTTCGTACAGGACACAAACCTGAGCAGAGCCTCTATTCTCCGTGTGAGTATTCAGATCACCATATGGACAGGTTCAGGTGCAAACGCCCCGCTATGCATTTGTTTTCTGCAGACAGATCCAAATATGATATCATCTCGTAAACGAATCGCCAGTGCGAGCGGGGCCTAATCCTCCCCCTCACTCTCTGAAAATCGGCTTGTGCGCTGCCTGTGTGTTGAGCTGAAAACAATGACCTGTTTTCTAGAAAGCCGTACATTTCTTTTCCTGCTCTGCGGAATGTCAGCACCATGAAGGGAATACGTTATGACAGCTGTCTTCTCTTATTGTTACAGGACTTCCTCTAATTTACCATGTATCTTTGTGTCCCTGTGTCTTTAGTGTGCTCTGATAGGGATCGTCCTGGTCCCTCTCCGGGCCATCCTCATGTCTCTGGTTCTCATGGTAACGTGGCCAGTCTCACTTATCATAACCTTCAAGTATCCCCTGAAGGGAGCCGTGGAGCCAATGACAGGATGGAGACGGTAACCAAAGCACACACCTTTTTTTAAACGACCACCTGCCTTTGAACTTTGATAAACCTTGTCCCTTTAGATTAAGTAGTTACAATTACAAAAGTAAGCAAGCCACATAGGACAGCAAGTAACATCCACTACATCTCTGTGTCTATGTGACAATACTGTAGTTATTGCTATCCCACAGTTATTACATTGTTATCTTACTGCTGCTGTTCTAAAGGCCTATCCACATACTGTCTTGAGCTGCATGGAGAAGTCTGCTGTTATGTGATTCATTAACATTAACATTAACTTTATTGTCAACAAAACAGCACAGCCACAAGTTTAGTTCCTCTGATACAATACAGTTTTAAGATAGTCAGTCTCAAGACTAGGAAGTGAGAATTACTGGGTCATGCATTTTTTTAATTTATGCATAAGCATGTAATGTGTAAGATTCACAGCACATTTTTATTATTTGATATCTGAAGACACACCAAATCCTTAGAGAGAAGTGAAACACTAAAATGGATTAAAATAAATTATTATATTCAGAATAAACTTTCCTGGAGTTTAAGGAAGTGGTGAAAGATGTGTCTTTTGCAATCCGAGGCTAACAGAAATGCACATGCTGATGTAACCTCTCATCAAAGCTTAACTCCTGCTTTTATTAATATATGTCGGGTGTATTTGCAGGTTCTTGTGTGAGAATGTGATGGCTAGATTGGGGAGGTTGTACTTCTTCAGCATGGGCTTCAGGGTGGTGGTGAAGGGGAAGCAGGTGAGCAGCAGTGAAGCTCCTATCCTGGCTGTGGCACCACACTCCACATTCTTTGATGGGATTGTTTGCCTTATGGCTGGTCTGCCCTCCACAGTGTCGCGTGTAGAAAACCTGGCTACACCTATCTTTGGCCGTGAGTCAGTTTACATTACTCACACTAATAGTGCATGTGATGTGGTATGTGTGTGTGTGTGTATAATATATATATTCAAAAGCAATCTTATTTTGTATTATAGGGTTTGTGCGCTGTCTTCAGCCAGTGTTGGTATCCAGAAAAGACCCTGACTCTAGGAAGAATACCATAAAAGAGATTGAAAGCCGAGCTAAGTCGGGAGGTCACTGGCCACAGGTTGGTGGTGGTGCAACTTAGTTTAGATTGACACTACTAAAAGTTAATACAACATATTTGTATAACATTAAGATAATCTTTTGATTTTCTTTTAGCTTCTAATATTTCCAGAGGGAACTTGCACAAATCGCTCATGTCTTATTACCTTTAAACAAGGTATGTAATTATGATATTGATATGCTCAAAGATTGTACCTGTCTTTTGAGTTATATTTGCTGTAATGGGATAATGTTCCTGTTACAAGCAAATGGTCTTGTATTGAATCTTATTGTGCTGTTTTAGGTGCCTTCATTCCAGGTGTTCCTGTACAACCTGTGATTTTAAGATATCCAAATAAACTGGTAAGATATTGGCAGCCAAAACTGAGAATGAGGGTGATTTTAATCAAATAAATCTCCTTAAGAAATGTTGAATTTATGAATGCTTTTTGCAGGATACAGTGACCTGGACTTGGCAGGGATTTGGCTCGTAAGTTTCTTACTCACAGGTATTTGCTCAAATCTTACTTTAGAAATAATACTACTGAATGTTATTGTTTTCACAGGAGCACTCTACTCCTCCTTACATTATGTCAGCCCTACACCACAGTGGAGATAGAGGTAACACATGCATTTCTGTTTGGTCTTGTCTCATTGCCTTACTGACCCTAAACCATGTCTGTTATTAGTTCCTTCCTCCATGCATTCCCTCAGAGGAGGAGAAGAAAAGTCCTGCCCTGTTTGCAAGCCATGTGCGAGATGTAATGGCCAGGTAGGAGTTTACATACACACAAGAAAAATATCTGTATCTTAAATATTATTCATTATATATTTGTGTACTGTAGGGCTTTGGGTGTTCCTGTCACTGATCACACTTATGAAGACTGTCGCCTCATGATCTCTGCTGGAGAATTGACCTTACCAATGGAGGCCGGGCTGGTAGAGTTTACCAAAATTAGTCGCAAACTAAAGTAATGCTCCTTTAATAATATAAACTAAATCATAGTTGACAAATACCACCATTCAAGTTTCTGTTGTATTCACAGTTTAAAATGGGACAATGTGAAGAAGGAGTTAGAGGGATTTGCCAATGTTGCAAGATCATGCAAGGGAGGACGCATTACCATAGAGGAGTTTGCCAAATTCCTTCATCTGCCTCTTAATCCAGTCCTCGAAGAACTATTTGCACTTTTTGACAGGGTGAGGAAAAAAAATATACCAAAAACAATAAGTTGTGCCCAATATTATAAATGTTGGTATTTCTAGGATGGAGATGGCACCATAGACTTCAGAGAATATGTTATTGGGGTGACAATCTTATGTCGACCTGCCAACACAGAGGATGTTCTCCGTATGGCTTTCCGGGTAAGAACATAGATTTCCACATAACCTTATTGGTTCATATATGAAATCACTTTAAGCTGAGGTTTCTGATTCAGAGTCAATCTGAGCTTTTGACATTTACTTCCGCACTGACAAGAGATAAAATACATAATTAGATGCAGACAGCTCACAGTGCTCTCATTTAATCACAAAGTGCTGCGTTTACAGTATATTCTTTGGAGGAAAAGAATAAGTCAGTTATCCAAGTTTTAACTACTGCTGGCTCAGTTAAAATCCAACAAGTATGATAAAAAGAAAAATATTATTATAATTTATTTAAAGAATACATCCCTTGCATCACTAGATACATTTTGGTTTACATATGTATAATAATTGTGTAGAATCAGAAAAATAGAAACAAAAATACATACATTATTTGCACTAAAATATATTATATACTAAAGAGGAAGTGAATTTTGGTTTTGGTGGATCGTGTCGAGCACATGCTTCTCCCTTCCACAGCACATTCTGTAGAAATCCAATCCTTGCAATTTTTAAAAATGTAATTGTTGAATCTGAGGAAGATGTATAATCCAGGGGCAGGAAGAGTGTGCTAAATCACCCAGCACTTTACTAAGTTGAAGTGAAGGCCAAGCAGACAGTTGGTTCTATAGTAGTGACTCTGTATAGACAGAACTGAAGCAGCAGTTTACACTGTTGCTGTTGTGAGTGTGACTTTTGGATTCTGTTTAAACTCTCACTCTCACTCTCATTTGTAAAACAAATGTCCAGTGAATCTAATAACTCTTACTTTTATTTAGACCTATACATTTGAGAAAATTTGAGTTTGCTTTAATGTAATTTGTTAAAACGCACATTTATTAAAAGTGTTTGTTAAAACAACTTTTCCACAATATGTCAAAAGAATGATTAATGATTAAGAATGATTAGAAAAGATTAAGATGGCCAAATAAAGTGATACATTGTCAACATAACCTTTTAAAGATGACCAACATTGGAAAGTTAATGATTATTATTCATTTTGTTTCCAGCTGTTTGACACAGACGAGGATGAGAAAATCACTCATGAGGAGTTCACTGCTCTTCTGCGCTCTGCTCTGGGTGTGTCCAGTCTCAACATGACCAAGCTCTTCAAGGAGATTGATGCAGACGGTTCTGGCTTTATCACATTCAGTCAGTATTAGCCTTGCACAATATTTATCAGAGATTTAAAATTTTATCCACACATTTTAATTTTATTTTTTATATATATTAGGTGAATTCCAAGCCTTTGCACTGAGACACCCAGAGTATGCCAAACTCTTTACTACGTACTTGGAGCTTCAGAGATACCAGGCCATTCAGGAAGCCTCACCTGGGGATCTGGAACTGAGCGGTCACGGCATTTCAGAGATGGAGGACAGTATCTCAGACAAGAAAGATGACTGACAACTTGGAGTGAGGAGTGACAAGGGTAACACTCATCTCAGAAATCTCAATAGTGTTTTTGTTTTTTTTGACTCCAACCAAATTAATTATGTTGTTCACAACACATTTGCTATTAAGATCCTTCACCACATTGGCAGGACCAATTTAAGAAGTTTTATCATAATGTTTTTATTATTTTATTAACAAAAAATGGGCAATATCTGTACACTGGGATTATATTTTAATACATAATCTCTGTAGAATATAGACAAAAAAGTGGACAATGTTCTTATTACATACATTTTGATGCCATACAAACAAGAGTTAACCCTGAGTTGTTATTTGTCATAACGTCATGCAATGGTTACATACTTTTTTCTAAAACATTGCTTGTGAGCTTCTGCTATGAATTATAGTGCCTTATATTTTAAACCCACTAAGGTCTTAAACGGATGTAGAATATGAGTTACGATCACACCTCATTTCTCTTCACTTCATTTCAAGCAACCAGTTGTATTGAGTCCTATATGAACTGAGCGCTTCTTCATTGTGGTTTCCTGTAAATAGGTGTGAAATTTACTACATCGACATAATTTTTAAACAGAAGCAAAGACTCCTTGTGTTCCTGTGTTGCAGTATAATTAGTACTTCATTATGATCTCCTATTGCTAGCCCACCATGTTCTGTCTACTACACATGCTGTGTTTTACACTTTTTGCTGCGCTCAGGGACACAGACCGTTGTAAGATATAATTAGCCAGAGGTTTGCTTTGCATGTGTATCCATTTGCATTTCCACTGAAGATTCGTGTTGCTGAGTTTGCAGTACAGGTTTAACTTTGTGGATTTACTAAAACAAATCCACTGTGGAAAAAAATAGGGCAATTTGTGAGCAAAAAGGCAACAGCTCTCCACGCATATAACAGTCCAGCAGGGTATATAGTTATTTATACTGTGCAACCATTAAATCATTATTTTCTCTTTTTGTTAATACAGCAAATTTTCTGTTCAAAATAAACCACTTTGCATTTTTTTTTACATTTTTGCTTTTTATTAAATTACTAAGAAATGCTGTACAAACTAATTAGATACATATGTAAATAATTCTCATTCTCACCACCAGGTGCCAGTAGTTACCTGTATAAAGTTATCCTTGTATTGTCTTAGTTATAATCTTATATATTTATACCTAAAGGTATAAGGTAAATAAGAAATATATAAATTCATTTGGGCTTAAAAGATAAACATCTAAAAAGATACTTTCTATTACAAAAGCAAAACAAAACAAAACAAAAATTATACATTGATTCTGAAGGTCAATATGAACAGGGATCTTATGTGCTTTGAAATGTTTTTTTGTTTTTTTACTGACATGACAAACTATGGTTGTAAAGGGGGACTGTACCAAGCAAATGTTGTAAGCCAACTGTTTGTGCCAAGTACAACTGAATCTGTCAAAGTGACATATTCTATCCTACATGGTCTTACATTTTGACATTTCAAGAATTATTTTCAATAAATAAATTATATGTCGATGTTGACTTATGTGTGTGCGCTTGTGCAGCTTATAATATGTCATTCTGTGAAGTAAAAGAAAAATGTGGGGAATATAGCTTTTTACATTTAATGATCATGTCATATGGTTGGACACACTCCTGTTTTTGTTCTTTTTTAAATATAAAATATATATAAATAAAATATATATATAAATATTAAATATCGCATAAATCATGAAGAAAAATGTGAATAAAATCAATGCATTTGGGTTTAAAAGCACTTGTGGCAATACTCTAATTCTGATACAACTTCAGAATAACTACACCTTAAATAGCCTTACTAAAACATGAGCAAAGGATTTATTCATGAAGAAAATAGTTTATTAAGAATGATTATGCTCAGTATACTGTAAATATTACTTAATACACCAACTCCTAACCCCTTTAATAAGTAGTTACTAAACTTGAATTATTTTTAATAAACTATATTTTCTTTATGAATTTGATTGTGACTGAAGTATTTGTTTTATAAGGGCTAAAGGTATGTAAAGTGCTATTACAAAGTGTTAGCATTTTAGTTGTGTTTCACCCCTGTTCTGATGCTTCTGCAAATGCATACAGAAATGGTCCTGTAGCCTGTCCTATAGTCTTTATTTATGCAAGAATGTAGATTGGCTTACTTTATTAAAGACCTGCTGCTGAACATGCTGTCATTACCAGACGCTAATCCCACCTTCAATTTGCTCTAACCTTTTCCAATGTACAGAGCTTCATTTCTTTTTAATCACAATTGATGAGACGGCAAGTAATCAATTAGGTCCGCTGTTACAACTGTGCACCAATACCTCAGAAAGAGACATCTTTTTAGTCCCTTTGGTCCCCTTCGGTTGCCTTAGTGCTGCTCTGTGGATATTGCTGTATCCATTTGAGCTGTGCCCGGAGGCTGGCCCTGTCACGGCTGATTGCGGGAGATATGCATGGTTAATGTGATTTGGCCTCCCCGGGACCTGGATGAGTGAATGGTCGCTGCAGGTACGGAGGACCGGCTGGACTGGGGCCTCACATCGCCAGGCGGAGGTAAAGGTCAGCGGAGACAAGCCGCTGTGAAACTGTTAAACTGAAGTGACACCGGGAGTGGCCCCTCATGAGCAGGTGCCCCGATGCTCACAGGGCAGAGGAGAGGGCCAGGCTCAAGCCGGTTGGCATTTGGGAGGATTTCACTCACGGCGTGCTGTGGGAAGAAAGAGTGGGTATAGTCTTTTATCTTTAGACTTTAGGGTGTCAAAAAGTCAAGTTTCTCTTGCAGCCTGTTTGTTCCAGTTGCTTTAAGCCTACATGCTGTATAGTAGTAACAGTAGTAGTAGTAGTTGCTGTTGTAGTAGGCTTAGCAGTAAAAGTAGTAGTAGCAGTTGTCGTTGTAGTTATAGGTGTTGTAGTAGTAGTTGCAGTTGTAGAGGGGGTAAAGTCAAGTTTCTCTTTAATTTGCTCTGGTTGCTTTTTGACTTATATGCTGTGTAGTAATAGTAGTAGTAGTAGTAGTAGTTGTTGTAGTAGTTGTAGTACTAGTAGTACTACTAGTACTAGTAGTACTACTAGTACTAGTAGTAAGAAACAAATGGAACTATGAAGTTTTCAGGTGAAGGGTCTGAAACTTCTTTGTCTCCATGAAGACGTTATTGTTTTGCCTGGAATTGTCATAAAACCATCTCCATGGAAAGACTAGCACTCTTGTCTCACAGCAAGAAGGTTGTGGGTTTGACTGCCAGACAGGCCCAGTCGTTTTGGTGCAGACTTTATCCCCAGGCCCTTTGTTTTTTCCCCATCAACCCAAAACATGCACAGTAGGATAAATCCTCCAGCTAAGGTAGTCCTGACCAAACCAGCTCAAGATGGGCTCCTGCTCCAGAGAGGTCTCCCCAGAGGAACTGAAGGACATGTCAAATGCTGAGGATGAATTTCTCTGCATAGATAATAAAGTATAACGTTAAATACTTTCTATTATTGATTACTCAATTACTTACTATTAATATTACTCAACACTTCTTAACTTTTGGTCACATAATTATTTCCTACTATTCAGTGCCAGAGTGGTGTGATTTGTCATGTACAGTGTTCTATTTTCTCTGTCTTCATAAATAGAGTTATTTCACTTCACTTCTACGAATATAAATTCAACCCTTTCAATGAACAGACAGTGATAAACAAAAGATACACTTCCATACTCTGATGACCTCAAAGACCGTATACAGTAACAGTTTCCCTAGCATCCCTGCTGCTAGGAAAGTGTTAATAAGTGTCGTCTTTCCACAGAATAGTTTCTTTTCTCAAACATTAGCCGGCCAAAACCATGGGCAGTTCTGGCAGCTCTTTTATTCCAAGTGCAAGAGTTCAAGAGACAGTTTCTTTTAACTTATTAGACTTTTGTTAGCACGGGGATATTTTTGGGAAGCATTGCATAGGGGGAACACATTTATTTTGGCTTTATGTTGACTTTCCTGTCTAAAATAACAGGATACCCGAAAGTGTGTATATTTGACCAGGGCTTTTGTCTTGTATGGCAAACATTTTTTCAGATTGTCAATATCCTATGTGCTACAGGTAATTGTTTGAAAAGAATAATTCACTCGAAGGATATGTACACCTAGATGTTTTCACAGTAAATGTCTTCATCAATCACACAAGGAAAACATTTGGAATACACTTTACATCCTCACACGCAACGGGTGGGTTTCCACACTTTGGCATCGCTGGTATAATTTATAATGTTTTCTGAGTAGTGCCTGGCAGATTAACTATCATACAATCAACCTGTGGAATTTGAGACAAACATGGCTCACGTCCAGCACAGACTTAAATGTGTTTTGAGTTGGTAGATGGAGACACAAGATGCAAGCCTCCAGTTAGGGTTCCTGATCTGACCCTGTCACACCTTTTTAACAATGTCTTTTCCATTATTTTCTTTTTTGTTTTTTTGAGTGATGTTTTTTGGTAGACTTAGGGATCATGACACCAATAAAAGTTGGCAAACCTTTTGAACTAGCTGGTGTTGAAAGTTAAGTTGAAAGTTAAGCTATATAACATGGTGACTGTTACTGTTTATGGGAACGGTATACTTCATACAATCCAGTCACAGAACTTGGTTGCAGTTTGAGAAATACTACACAGTATACTGGTAACTTGCGACATAATAAATATATACACCATATGTTACTTTAACACCAAAATAAATTTACTATTGCATTGCACCAGTCTCAAATTCAAATGAGCTGAATGACAAATGACCCCAGCTCTATCAAGAGATAATCTGAGTAAAATAGATGCCAAGCTGACACATAAAGGTGTCCATAGAATTATTGCAGCACTCACAGAAGCTGAAAGCAAAATATAAACCATAATTTGTCGTTGAAAATAAATAGTTGAATGGATAATAAAAAGTCTGTGAGCCTTGCTAAGTGACCAGTGTGTACTCTACATTTGGCCCATTTGCTGGGATATGCTTCAGCCAGCCATGACTTGACTAATGGAAACAAGCAGAAGAAGCAGAATTAATTATTTTTGGCACAAAGCGGGTCTGAGCAAAACCATAGCATACTGTCCACCAAGCACATTCAAAAGCACATCCACCACACACATGCTTGACCAATTATAATAGATCACTGAAAGAACTGTCCTCTTCGAGTCTTATCATGAGTAGTCAACATCGTGTTATAAAAATGTCGCATACCAAATCTCTAAAGACATTCCCATTCCCTTTTTTAATGTACTAAAAAAGGCCTTCAGCAAAACTTCATAATGTCCAATTACACCACTCTCTGGATAATTACCTTTTTTTCTACTGTCTTGCTTCAGGTGCTTTCATGGAACACAGTGCACTCCAGTTCTCAGCTGTCCAGTCTCATTAATGTGATTATAGTTACTGTTATAACAAATGTGGTTGCAATGATGGAGTAATAAAAAATTTAAATAGCCACATATATTTATACTTCATGCATTTTGATCAAAGAGTAGTGTACGGTGCCAGAACCATAATAACACACAGTGTCCATCCACTGTCTTCATCTTAACCACTGTCTGTCTGTTTTTTACCTCAATATTTTATGCAGTCACCAGATGTGGATTGTGATAGAAAACCTCAACATATATATATGGCTTCAGATTGCCACAAGGAGTATAAATTCAAGCAAATTATAATAACTGACAGACAAATTGTATAGGATAATCCATTATATTTTGAGATGGATTAAAAGAGGAGGGATTATGCTTTTTTTTTTTTTTTTTTTTTTTTTTTTTTTAGCTTTCTACCATGTTATATTATCAAAAACATGCCTGAAGAGTTTTTAGATGCCATCAATGCATGTCTGAGTAATCTAGTAATCTCTCCTGGGCAATATGCAGTAGTTTCATTAGCAGGATGGACGCTGATTGTGTTATGATGGCACTCAGAAGAGGGAGTGACAGGAGCAAAGGGAGAGGGGAAAGTGAAATTTATAAAACGTGTTAATAAGTCATTGGCAAAAAGGTTACATGATGATCTAAAGATGTTATATGTTATTATGTGTAGTTATGTGTTATGTGCAGTTAATACCCATAGAAGTAAAACAGCCCCTCTTCAAGAATTGTGTTCTGTGCTGCTATGGTATTCCAACTGCATAGCCTTCTAATGGGTAGGTGACAAACTGAGTTAATCTATGAGTGGATTGACTTCACACTGCCATGTAATGTTATGTAACCACCAAGAAACTATGCTTCTGACTCATATATCTGACTCAAAATACCTCAACTTAAAAATGGAGGAAGACATTTTTGAGTTGCTTAATCCATGAGCAGACAGGGAGACAGAGCTTCGAAGACAATTTGAGTGTGATGGGACATGGGAAAGCTATTTCAACTGGTTCAGAGAGCTTTAACTAGGTCCTCAATATAAGCCCACTTAATGCTAATGCTATGTTTGAAGGAATAGGGAGTCGTAACTTGAATAACACACACATTAAGCTCTACTGATGCCATAAAGGGTAAAAATATACATTATTAATATTTTAGCTACTAACAACTGCTAATTACTATGGTACTACAATACATACAAAACTGAGCAGTGACCAGAATGTAAATTTGATAAAGATTTTTATTTTTTTTATATCTTACCAGGGTCAAGTAGTTTTTGCCCTTGGTAACACAAAACTCAAATCTTCCCACTGAAAAATAAGGTAGATTAGGATATTGATATTATAATGACCACTACAAAGTTTTATCTGTTATGCATACCTATTATAGCAGGTGGGTCAAGGGTCATGAAGGAATGAGGGGAGAGTTAAGTGGCTAAGAAAATCCACACAACACTGGCTTTATTGTAAAGGAGTTCAAGTGCATGGACCAATTTAGGAAGGTCCCAAGCATAGTTGGACATACTATAGTTAAATGTTGGCTTTCTTTGTTTAATTTTGGGATCACAAGCAGTGTTTATGATATGGTAAAATGGAATGCTTACATAATATATAATATATACAGCGATGTCTTTTAAACCTGTTGTAGATCTGCATTGTACCTACGCAGTTTATTAATGATGGGTTTTGGCTAATGAACCAGAAAACCACAGTAGCCACACTGGACATGTCTTGCTACATACTGTGTGGCTTTACCATCACTGCAGATATTCAATCTTCACAAACAAAACACACAAAACCAGCCCTATTAGGGTTTTGTAAAAACAGAAGCAGAGAGCCAAAAAGACATTCATTGACTTTAATGGGATGAAGTGATCAACCATATCTAATAGAAATCATTGCCCCTGGCCAAAGCTGCTGTGGAATTGGATTACACATGGAACACAATGCTTTTACGGCTTCTAAGAAAACTGTAATCCAATCAGTTTAGTACAGAGAAGAAACAGATAAACTCCAAATTATAACATTAAAAAGTTTTTTGTTTTATATAGAAATTAACTATTGATATAAAATGTGAGTGAAGTGGACTTGTCCAAAAAGAAAGGCTTGATGAGTGCAGGTGGTTGTGCCAAGTATCTTGAGTCTACCATCCCAAGGTTATCTTATCAAACAAGTTCATGTTTTCAGCATATGTACCACTGAACTGAACAGATAGTTTAGTAAGGAACCAGTGTTGCTTTTTGTGCTATCGGAGGAAGCCCCAAATAAAACCACTTCTCAAGTGTACATCACATTTGGGAGGACAGTGTTCAATTATGATGGATCACGTGAGAGAGAGAGAGGAAAAGGCGGTTTAAAAAGCTCGCTTTTTAATGTGGTCCCCGTTAAAAGGAGGCGAGTCTTGGTTGCTTTAGAATGGGCAGTCTTTCATCACAGTCTTCTGGACGTCAGGGGCACAAAGTCATGGAGAGCTGCCTGTAGCACGAGCACCAACGCCACACGCGAGAGAGTAACGGTTGGTGATTTTTTGAAATGACAACGTAGACACCTGGTCGTTTTTATACATTCTTTATGCCGTTCAATGGCACATAGGATTTTGCATTTTGACTTATTTTCTTTCACTAATTTATTTGTTATTATGAATGCACAATCACAAGGAGTTCCAGTGATTTGTCGTGCGTAACTGTAATCCTCACAACTTTACGCACACCTCCAAACCTCTCCAAACCTCAGTTAATCTTCTTTTCTCTACAACCAATATGCACAGATGTGTGACCAGTAGTTCCCGGGGACAGTACTGGCCTATTTAGTTTTTTAAAACAAACTCTTGGCGTCCTTTTTGTTCAGACGCAGCGGCTCAAACCATCAGCTCCTCCGCAGGGGGCCAACACGCAGTGTGGGCACTCCGACGCACTTCTCACCAAGAGAAGATGAATATCCAAGTCGTGCCAGAACACAAGCTCTCTTCAGTGGCTCCGCTTAAGCAATGCAACGTGGAGAAGAAGGAGGTAGAACTGATACTCGTCAAGGACCAGAATGGCGTGCAGTACACCAGCTCGTCCATCATGCCCGCCACTGGACGCCGGGCAGGTCCACCCGGTTCCTCCGAAGATGACCGAGAAACATGGGGCAAGAAAATAGACTTTCTCCTGTCAGTGATTGGTTTTGCAGTAGACTTGGCCAATGTTTGGAGATTTCCTTACTTGTGCTACAAAAATGGAGGAGGTGAGTGAACAAACTTGTAATTATGGTCAAAGTTCGTATTGTTGTTAAAGAGCACATAGGAGGCGCAAAAATCAAATATGTTTTACCACCAGTCATTTTCTGTAGTTTCTGTAGTTAACCCGCGTGCCACGCTTTCAATTTAATTATAAATCAAAATAGATATTTCACATGATCATGTCCGGAAGTTGTTTCATGGCAAATTGACAGCTCCGACAGGCGTGAATAGCTAATAGTGTATGAATGTAACTATATAGTACAGATGTAAGCAATGTCAAAAACGTGTCCTGTCTTTAATAAACTGGTGTATCAGATCTGAAATACAGATACATTCAACTGTCCAGTCATATCTGTGTATTTTGTTTCTATGCAAGGTAATGTGATATGAGTTCAGGGTAAGACATGTGACCACAACATTTTACCTTGTAAAATGATTTAATTGTACTCATGTACCTGTACTGTACATTATTACATTACATTACATTGTTTGTGTACCTGACATCAGTGACCCCCGGTTGCACTTATGACCTTTCACCTCATCTGACTAACAAAGTTATAACTTCCTTGTCTTTCAGGTGCCTTTTTGATCCCTTATGTCCTATTTTTGTTCATTGCGGGGATGCCATTGTTCTATATGGAACTTGCCCTGGGCCAGTTCAACAGGGAAGGAGCAGCCACAGTTTGGAAGATCTGTCCTGTTTTCAAAGGTAGATCCCCACAGACACACACATGCACCCACCTGCTGATCGTGCACATAACAGCCACCCTCTCTTTCTTTCACTCATCTCCAACAACCTCTCGTTTGCTGTACTTCTCGCTTGAGCACTGGCCTTTCATTTTAGCCCACGGTTCCTCTTTTTTTCCCTCAAGGTGTCACTTAAAACTAATCTTTCTGTCACAGCGAGCCCCTTGTTTCACCTCTGGCTTTTCTGCTTCCCTTCTCTTGTTCTTGAACTCCTCACCCTCGTTCATGTTTTATTGTAAATGTCAAATCAATATCAATTCAACAAGAGCGCTGTTTGTGTTCATTAAATGTTGAATCAATCCATTTGAGACATGTATCAGAATGAGCTAGATGATGAAAAAGGTCAAATTATATACCGTTACATTGGAGGTTTTTGTCCATTTTGCATTTGGTTTAGGAACTTTGTGAGTGGAATGTCAAAAGTGCTGAAACTGGAGTGGATACTGTTTTTATTGGCTGCAGTGGTCAGAATGGGTTTTTATGCAGAGACAGATGAGTGATGTTTTATGACTTTTGGGTTTGTGAAAAAAAATATTGTCTTCTAAATTTAACTAAAATATTTCCTTAACGTAGCATGAAAACATACTGATATATTGCACTGACAGCAGCTTGTAACTAGGGCCATAGACTTCATCGTTTAGTAGATTTTTTTTTCAATCTTTATACCACATTTTTTGAAACTTGGTTTAGTTTGACCATTTGACTCAAACAATTTAACTAAACAGGGGCTTAGGTGATCAAATAATTTGGAACATTTCTTATCTTAGCTCTTAGCTCACACAGTTCTAAGGCTCTTTCTCAAAACACTTGACACAGCTCTCATTCAGAAATTCATTAGGATTTCACATATGAGTCAAGAGTACAGAGGCATCCTACTTTAGCATATATAGGCCAAATAACCAGTGTACTGTTTGTGTAAATGTCTTGTACTGTTGGTGTAAATATTGGTTGAATTTCCAGAACACCTATATTACATACAGTAAGTTTTTTTTTATGTATTTGCTAATCTGACATCTTTCCATCTTTCACTTTTATTCATCACAAGTATTTGAATAAAATACCGCACAATCCAGTGTGCATATCAGTAATACATACATTTGTTTCAATTGTACCGTTTACAAAAAATGTTACAATATATTGAAAAAAACAAAACAAACTATTCCAGCCCCAAATGCGTATGTGTAAACTGTGAACCCCAGCATCAGACTGCACTAAGCCAGTGATACTCTGTGGTCACTGAAACCAGGACTAATGCGTTAGAGCTGCACTGTCAAATGAAAGAAAGAGCACTTAAAAACACATGAGCAAAGTTTCAGAGTTTTCATGGTAAATTTTGCTTTTGGGGGATGATTTATTGGTTTTGAATGTAAAACTGCATTTTGCTGAGATGAAATCTTGTTTAGGAAAATCATAATCCTGTTTGGGATTCTGTGTGAGCTTTTGCAAATGTTGATTTTCAATGGAGAACTGTGTCAAAGATTGCTGATTACTTTGTTTGAACTATAAATGGTTTATGTGGACGGTAGCAGAAAGCAGAGGGGATGGAGAGAGACAGCTGGAGTTTTCAAAGTTAAAGTGTTAAACTTCCTTATTTACCAGTTTACTAGTACTTATCTGTAATAAACGGTCGTTATTTTGTCTTGTGTCTTTGGGTCAGATCATACAGAAAATGCCATGCTCATGCCATGCACCCTTTATTGACTAATTGATGCACAGATCATGTCTTTATTTGACCAAGAATTTATTTAGCCCTACTTGTAAACCTTATATCTGGTATTGTGCCCATCAGGTGTGGGATACACAGTGATCCTCATAGCTCTGTATGTGGGCTTCTACTACAATGTCATCATCGCCTGGTCACTGCACTACCTGTTCTCCTCCATGACAAGCGAACTGCCCTGGCTCAAGTGCGGTAACAGCTGGAACAGTCCCAACTGCACTGACCCCCAGGACATCAGTAGCTCTGTCCTCGGCAACGGGACATCCTACGCCAAGTACAAGCTCACCCCAGCAGCGGAGTACTATGAGTGAGTTTTCATTTATTCTCAGATTCCTAAAGCTATTAAATAACTAGCAATATGTACTCCAGGCATTCTTAAATATCACAATAATACTTTCTGTTGGCACTGCATCTCCTGGAGCATGTCATAGAGCCAACAAGATTATGGATGTACTAGTACTACAGTATTGTATGCTTGGTGGTGGTCATTGAGTCTATAGGTGTGGAGTGGCTGCTCTTTGAGTAAGTTGAGGTCCAAATTAGTCAAAACCATTTGTGGTGTTCACCATTGTTTTAATTTAGACATTTCTAAACACAGGCTTTGTAGATCACAATGTTGTATTTGCTCATGATTTGCATATGTGGTTCCCTGATCCCTATAGTTGTCTATGATTTTGTGGAAAATCTTGCGTCAAAAATAGTTCTTCATTTTTGGTATTTTTGTCTAAATGGTGAAATATGCAAGTGTTCCTGGAATGATTCTTTGTTGAAAAGTGTAAACTGCAGACGCTGTAAATTTGAAGACTCCTAAAATTATCCACGCTTCACTGCTTGTCTTGTAGAAGGTGTATACATAAAAAGTTCAAATGCACTCTTTGAAGTATGCAGGAAAAACAGTCCATCTGTGTATGCTTCAAAGACAGCTCACTCTTCCCGGCCTCTGTGTGCATTGGGGGTGCAACCCAGAGGAAGTCTGCTGGAGTGACCAGGGACAATGCCTGGGACATGTGCCACAGACGCAATCTACTGACAGTGCCTCTCAGACAATATTGAGCTTTTTTGATTTCCGTTTACTCCGCCAAATCATTCCATATCCTAGAAATAAGTTTTAGTTTATCACTGTGAAATCAGGCTGGAACTGTTATCTAAAACCTGATATAGGTTCTAGAAGTTGATATTGGTCTAATTCCAAGTGGACTTATTTAAGATGGACAGTCCAACAATGGAGTCCTTCTAGACAGAATCTGGTAAGGGGTGAGCCTCTGTTGGGGGCAGTAAATCCTTCTCAAGCAGTGAAGCAATGCCAAGGCACAGCATGGACCCACTGAATCAACACTGTCTAGCTGCACCTTTTTTACAGACATGCTCAAGAGCTGTCTGTCTACAGCTATTATGTGCAAATGTACTGTACTACTACAGTAAGTAGTGTTCTCACTTGATGGCAGCTAATTTTCAAAAGCAAAATAGTAAAAAGTATTAATCTATCAGTCTTTGCTAACTGTACGTATTATGTCATTCAGTAACAGTCCTAAACTGGAGCAGGATAATTTGTATGTTTGTTGTTTTGTTTTGGGTTTAAAACATGTCTGCAAATACATGAATAATATGTTAGAGGAGTAGGAGCGGGTTAAGTGTAAAGGCCTCCAGGACACACACACAGGAGACACTTTCTGAGTATTCTGAAGAGTATTATTTTGCAGCATCAAGTATTGCACTGAGGACTGTCACTAGTGCCAGTCTACCCCACAGGCTAAGACTGCATAGTTTGGTAATAATTGGAAAATAATACTTAATGAATAATTAAATAAATAATTATGTTTTTCTTGTATTATTTGTGCAATTATATTTTCTCTATTGATTATTGCATTTATTTTTTACATGTCTGTGCATGAGTCAAGTAAGGTTTATCGTGTAGGTCTGGTATATCAATATCATTTCGTGTTTCCTCCCTATTCTGTAGTTTTTAAGGTATTGCCAAAATAAGGCTACAGTTTGACCAGCACTTGACACGTGACCCATTACCTTATTTTCTTTTAATGGTTTATACAACTTGACATTGTGTTAATAAAACAATAGTATTATGATTCAAATCACGAAACAATGTGTATTAGAAATTGAGGTGAGGAAAGGACTAGGAGAAAAGGCAGGTCTGCCAAAAAATAGATGTGGGCATTTTGCTGTAATTACAATTACACCAGGCTTCAGGATGTGAAAGTAATCTCGAACCTGCTCTTTATCTTTGCACATTGTCTGATGAAAGGAACAGAAATATTAATAATATGATGATTATTGCCCTGGAACTGAAAGTCAGCCACAAGGGTCACAAGCCACTACTACTCTTTGTGCTTGTGCCAAGCCTAAATAAACATGGGGGTTTGGGTCAGTGAAGGCGCCCGGCATTAAACATATTCTTGTATAAATCTTTGCACGCGAGGGGCAAGGTTTAAAGTGTAAAACTCTAATGGGAAAAAAACAAGTCCATAGTGGCAGAGAGAATCCCACATGACAGAAAAGCAGGCAAACATTTTTTTGTAATGCAGCACCTGTAATCTATTGTTGTCATAGGGATATGTTTTACATTATACTCTCTCCCGTTCTGTAATGCCACTGGCCTAGGCATAGTACTTCTCATTTCTCCATTTAAAAAAGCAGCATTAGAGAAGCATGTGCACTTCATCAGCTCTGACCAACAGGCCACAGCTAATGACCTTTCATGGTTTGAAGGTTTTACTCTGCTCCTGGAACGAATAAAGTGTGTTGAAAGAGAACTGTTTCTGATTTTATGGGACAGAGGATTACACACACTGGCCTTGGCCTAACCACAGGAATATTAGTCAGACAGACATGATATATAATGAGGGAAATACATTATGTGAAAGGCAAAATGTATCATTAGAAGGCCGTTCTTCATCAGTACAGACTAAGTACTGGCTTCTAATTCCCATAGCTCATTTTTATCTATTTTTGAAGACATCAGTTAGTCTCATTTGCACATTACCTAACACGCACAGTCATTCACATCAGGGATTCCACTTAAGCTCTAACTAGACTTAATAAATTGTGCACATTTAAACCAAATCTAATTACACACGCAGCTGAGGAAATTGCATTTAGTTTTAGCAGACAATGTTTCTTTAAATAAAACTTTTTAAATGAAATGGAGACGGCTATCAATTAAAATATTTGGCTGGTATGCCTGTAATTACTTCTTTGTTTGTTTAAAACAAGCTAGTTTAGTGTCCAATGTTTTGATGCTCTACGCACACAACACCATGCCACCCTTGAGTACACAAAGGACAACTAATGGCAACAGTGAGTTTCAGGAAAGTGGCATATAGGCAGTTTGCTGAGCGATGATAAGAGTAAATGTGTTTAGAGTAACAAGACCAAAGGGACAAGGATTGATGTTATAGCACGCACTTACTTATCAACTTTATCAAATGAACAAGGAGACCTAGGGGCATCACAACACTAACTCAAGATGTCCAGACTCTAAATTTCCCTTGCCAAACAAATTGTATCCTCTTGTCACTATCTGTCTCCCACAAGTCTTAATGTCTTTGAATGCATTATCAGATGAGATACAAGAGAAGACACTGTACTTTAGTGTCTTGAGCTGGAGCTTTCCATGATTCCATCTGTTGTTTGAGGAGTACCCACTGTATTAGACCAACTTCACTGTTTATAAACCATTCATCACTTTACATGCTGTGTGTGTAAGTAAACCCCTCTTAAAAAGGCACTCAGGGGAGGAAGAGCATTAATGAAAATAACACTGGTCTGAAAATATGAAAAAAAATAAATTAATTAAACAATTACTGTAGGTAGACACATCATAGTATGGTAAATGTGCATTGTGTCAGTCACAGACCTCCCATGGTATAGGCCTGTCTCACCGGACCATCCATGTGGCATAAACACTGTCTGCCACAAACCAGCCACACGTCATAGATTTGTGTCTACTGCCAGGAATAACAACCAAGAGTTTAAGTGCATTCCAATATGTCACTGGAACTGGAGCTTCTGTGTTTGCCGTATTCCAGCCGTCTGTAAAGACCCAAACAGCTTTCTATGAATATGTAGAAAGTAAAATGATGCATCACTGATAAATATAGAGTTGTTACAAACAGAACAACCAGATGCTTTTATATTTAACTATAAGTAACATTGTGTTATTAAAGAGCTGTATATGTGTGTATATATATATATATATATATATATATATATATATATATATATATATATATATATATATATATATATATATATATATATATATATATCCCTCTCCAGGCAGGCGTTGCAGATTTGCAACAGCTAAATTCCAATTACCTACTTACTGTAAATCCATATTTTATTAGCTTTTTTTACTCAGGAGCCTTTTTTCCCATCCATGCTGATAAACGTGGGCAATGCAGACTGTGTAAGAATGGCTACACACAAACGGCCTGCCAGAAGTGCAAAATACTTTTTTTGTTTACAAAGGATAAAAAAGTCAGGATTGTATATTACTACTCCATATTATAATTTTCCCCAAATATCAGATTTTTCCTGATACTAAAAATTTATTTGAGCCTGAGAGGGTAAAAAAAAAAAAAAAAAAAAAGATCAGTAATATGTTTACAATCAGTAAAAAACACATTCATGGACTGTAGCCTTCGAGCACATTTATAGTCCTCTAAAGAGAATTAGATGCTGTTTTTGTCCTGTGGGCCCCGGGAGATGGGTGATACTCCCTTGCATCATAAGGCTAAACTCTTGTTGTTGCTAGTGTTCCTGCAGACAATTGCATTTTCAATTGTACAGTCTGAGTCTAACCAGAGCTAGGGCTGGGTCCCTGGACCTCAGTTACATCCAAACATATGTAACTGAGAATATTTTAACTGTTTGCCAATAGCACAACACAATAGGATGTCCATAACCAGAACAGATGTGCAAGTCACCTCTACTGAGTGCTCTAGATGTAGCGGAGCAACAACTATACACTGAGCTCCTTTTGGGTGACTTTTCTTTTCTTTTTAGTCATGAAAAGTATGGGCCATGACAACAGACCATATGAGTCATTGACTGGTAAATTGAGAACTTAGCCTTTTTGACTCAACTCATATAACTCTTTACTAAATTCTAAGCTAGAGATCGACAATATTGCTTAGAGTTTGATATCAAATTATAAAAGAAACATGAATGATAATTCATTGTGAATTCTGAACAAATGCTTTCATGAATTCTCAGACACATGACTGTTTGGTTTAATGTTTAGCTTTGAAATTAAAGAATAATATGCGGATACATACAAACATGTGTAATTTATTGAAATGAACTAAAAATAATAGATATTTGGTAAAAACAGTCCACATGAGCAGGGAATGATTTAATGTTTTTCTCCTGTGCAGACGGGGTGTGTTGCACCTCCATGAGAGCAGAGGGATCCATGACCTGGGCATGCCTCGATGGGATCTGTCCTTGTGTCTCATTTCAGTACTTTTCATTCTGTTCTTCAGTCTGTGGAAAGGCGTCAAGTCATCAGGGAAGGTATGACCTTCTTAAGTCTTTCCCCCCACAAATCAAAACAAGTGTGTTTTTTTTTTCCTATTGCAAAACCAGCTGTCATGCAAACATTTAAGTTTTTGTAGTTTACTTTTTCTCTTTTCCTTCTTCTAGGTGGTATACATTACTGCCACTATGCCCTATGTGGTGCTGTTTGTGCTGCTGATCCGTGGGGTCACTCTACCAGGCTCTATGGATGGAATAAGAGCCTATCTCCACATTGACTTTAAAAGACTCAACAACTTAGAGGTTGGTAATAGTGGTACTTAGTTAACATTCAAAGTAGTTTTCTTAGTACGAGATACAGTTCCTACTGCCCCTTCGTAGTGTTTATGTCAGCAAAGCTTTCTACATGCCTGGTGACTGATTCACGGGGTGGAGAAAACATACTGAATCCAGGAACTGTTCTGTGTATACATTTCACTGATATAATCTTGACTCAAAGTGCACCATGTATTTGTAAGGGGAAAAGGAAAAGTTTACCCCTTTGAACATTAACAAGCAATTATGGAAAGACAAAATTAAACTTTAAGCAATGCATGCAAATTGAGTCGTCGTGGTTGAATAATAACAAAAGCTTATACCAGATACATACTAGAAACATTCTTGTGTAATTAATTAATATGTTTGCGTATTATATTTTAAAAACAAGCACTTATTTTAATTGTTAAGTTGCATCTTCTGCTTTTTTTTTTTTTTTTTTTTAGGTATGGATAGATGCTGCTACCCAGATCTTCTACTCCTTAGGAGCAGGATTTGGCGTGCTCATTGCATTTGCGAGTTACAACAAATTTGACAATAACTGCTACAGGTGAGACTATGACTGTAAAAAAGTATATACACATGATAATCCAAAAGCAAACTAATCTAATCTTACCATAGTGTACAGCCATACACCATAATAACAACTAGAAACACTGGAAAAGTCATGGCCAAAGGCAATGTGTTGACTATTTGGTGCTGTTCTGCCTCACAGAAAGCAGACATTGAATTGAGGTCGGCTTATCTTTTTTCCACATAATTGGTTGCAGTGCCTCAGTTATAAGAAAATGCTGTCGGCAAAACATCAGTCAAGTCAATTATTTATTTTAATACATTATACCCCACGGACAAAACATATTTTGCTGCAACTAAGGTTTATAAATCATAACGCTTTTGCCAGGACATTTGTTTGGCTGATTGGTTTCTCAAATGCTATGGTCTTGTCCAATTTGTCTGGTTTCCTTTCATGATATCAGCTTCATAGTTAGAAACCTAGCAACAACAACATAATGTACACACATATATTAATATTGCTTCTTTCAAATATTTTATTACTATTTCTTACTCTTTCATTGTACTGTTTTCAGGGATGCCCTTCTGACGAGCACAGCACTGTGAACTGTGTTACCAGTTTCTTCTCTGGGTTCGCTATTTTCTCAGTACTGGGCTACATGGCTCACAAACATGGAGTGAATATAGAAGATGTAGCTACTGAAGGTAAGAAAGTCTGGACAGTAGAAAGTCTCTTTTGAAGATGTTCTTACAGCCTTTTTCATTTGACATTTGCAAAACAACTCACACAAAATGTATGTGTTCTGGAAATTCAAGTAGGATGTTAAAGTTGGATGTTTCTGTATTCTGACTTGTGTGAAATCCTTTGCTGATAGATTTTTGGTGCTCACAAATATTTGCTTTTTGATGTCATGTTTGAGTTTCTATATTAAAAGTAATGGAGACTGGATCAGCATTCTTTACCACGTGACAACAGGTCTGTGGTATTGAAAAAACTTGAATTCACTAATCAAGTGTGTTTCTGAATGAGAGCTGTGTCAAGTGTTTTGAGAATGAGCCAGAGAACTGTGTAATGAGAAATACGCCAAATGATATGCCACACACTACAGGACTTTTCTGTCTTAAACGATTTTTAAACATGCAACAAAAGGTGCACATCACAGACACGAGGAGACTTAAAATCTCCAATCCCAAAGACTGCAGCAGGATACGGCTGCAGACCACAGGTCGCAGTTGTGAGCGTGATCGTGTTAGCTGTTTCCTGTCTACAGTAAACCCACTCACTTTGAGACTTTTAAAAGCATTGCATTTCTAGTTCAGATACAATACAAAACTGTGTTATTATTTTTTGTGAAATGTGGTGCAATACTTCAGATGCATGATTTTTTAAGTATAGTCAGGAAGTAGAGTCACTATTGCTAATCTGCAGTTTTACCTTGATCTGTGCACTGTGTGGATGTAAACAGACACACGTGAGGAACTACTCTGATCTTTTTACTTTCAAAGAATGCTTCAGACTGGATTAATAGCACAGTTTTGTGGACTGGATGTCCTTATTTGTGGAGCACTTTAAATTTACCACTTTAGGAGTGTTGAGTAAAGTCTTCTCATTATTTTCACTATATCCCGAGTTTGTATGTTGTGCCTCTGTGTCCGTCACTCCTCTGCCCCTGACGCTCTGTTTTATTGACTGTTATCTTAGCGTTGCTGATGTTTAGTGATTACGATCTGACAGAATAGATCAGAGTCACACTGATATCACACACACGAGGAGCTCAGTGGCTTCACGAAGGCACAATGTCGGGTCACAGCTCCCCGAACTCGTGGAGAAGGAAATCGTGCGGCCAAAATCAGGCAAATTCTCCTGTAGTGTGTGGCAGCCTTTAGCCCCTGTTCAGATAAATGCTTGAAAGTTTTAAAAAAAATGTGGTAAAATGAAACTAAAACTAATATGAATGTTTTTTTTTTTTTTTTTTTTTTATTATTCCAGGGGCAGGTTTGGTATTCATCATCTACCCAGAAGCAATATCCACACTGCCTGGCTCGACATTTTGGGCCATAGTCTTCTTCATCATGTTGCTGACTTTGGGCCTTGACAGTGCTGTAAGTTTACCTGATTACACATAATGAGTCGGCATTCACCTCACCAGCCTAACATTGCTAGTGTTGTATCTGTGCTTCGTTTCTAGATGGGTGGCATGGAGGCCGTCATCACAGGTCTGACCGATGACTTTAAGATTCTCAAGAGGAATAGGAAGGCATTCACCTTTGCTACAGCATTTGGGACCTTTCTTATTGCTTTGTGCTGTATAACAAATGTCAGTACTAAACTTTATTTCACTCCATTCACATCTACATTTAACTTGGGTTAATGCGTCTACTTCACAATTGATTTGAAAATATAATTTATATGAGCAAACATGCATTCAGAGCGTGGTTTCAGATAAAACATGTCCTTTGAATAACTTTAGTAAATACTGTTAAAATTCTGCTTTAATTTGGGTAGTTGACACTTGTGTACAGAGCAGCAAACCAGTATCTCATGATACTGGGAACATTTGTCACAAGATTTTATCAAAGGAACATTCAAATAGCAAATAACTTATCATAATGTAATTTATGGCCTATTAAATAGTATAGGTTATTAACTCTATATTAACTAAGTAATATAAAAAAAGTTTGCTTTATGTATAGTTATTTTTCGCTGCTGGATCTACAAGTGTTTTTACTTGCAATGTTTGAATAACATTCTCTTCACGTATCACACTATAGCAGACACCTGAAGATTAGCACAGCACACACACTGAATTATCTGTCTGTGCCCCTGGTGCAGGGTGGAATCTATGTGTTGACTCTGCTAGATAAGTACGCAGCTGGGACATCCATACTGTTTGGTGTGCTGATTGAGGCTATCGGAGTGTCATGGTTTTATGGTAAGACACTCACAATCACACTCACAATACTAAACAGAGGAGGAGGTATATTTATTATAGACAGAGGATAATCTTTACAGACATCACCATGGTACTTTTGATACAATCACCAAGCACATAGGTGGACAGGGGTGTAGTCAGTCATTGTTTTACTATGTCTCCCAGTGGGTATATATACAACGAAATGTATTGTCCTGAACATGTGTGATGTAACATTTGTTCTGTATCTACCTACAGGTGTGGACCGGTTCAGTGATGATATTGAGCAAATGATGGGCTTTAAGCCAGGCCTATACTGGAGACTATGCTGGAAATATGTTAGCCCTGCTTTCCTGCTGGTGAGAGGAACACAATAAAGCTCAAATCTTATGAAATGTTATGACAGAAGATATGCTACATTTTTAAAAGCATGTAGATTACTGGATCTTCATGATATGCATAATGTTCCATAAAAATATATCCATCTATAAATCATATATGCAAGTATAGGATCTTATAAAATTATATTACTTAACTCTACTTTTTCCATCTGTTATTCAACAGATTACAAAATAATATGAAAGTCACTGTATGTCCTTGTATATTGGCTAGCAAATGAATTGCGGTGGCACTCTTAAACTAAAACAAAGATGTGAAATTAAAAAAATGTTATTACGCTGTCAAAATTTTAATTAGTGACATCCACTGGAACTTCTATGAACTTATGAAGAACACTTATATCATTTTAGCACCTCAAACAAGTTCCGTGTGGTTTGAGTGGGGTCAGTCCACGTGTGCTAGCGGAAGAGCATAGCTGTGTCAACTGTTGTCCAGCGGAGGGTGGAGAGATCATGTGCTTCCTGTCATTCACAGGGCTGTCTGCGCCATCATCCAAATAGTGCAAATTAACAGCTGTAATCAGAGATAATTGTTCATGAGACAAAAAGATCAAACAATTATAAATGGACACAGTGCCAACATTTGTTTCGGTATGTAAATGGGCACCGACAAGCTTTTGTGTCTCAGAAGAAAGTGCTGTGCTTGTCCGACATATGACCTTTGAATTAGCAATATCACACATCATTTAACTGCAGCAATATATTTAGTGTGGAAAATAACATTTTATTCTAACAAAGTTTTAATAAATAAAAAGACACTTCATTATGTTTTTATGTAAAAAAAATGAATGGAAAATTATTTTCAGTAGAACATTACTTTTAGTACAACAGTATGTATTATTTAACAACACACATTAATTGAATACATGTTGAATAGTTAATTTTACTGCCATATATAGTGGAACATTCTGGGAGAAGCCAGAATGTTCCATCAGATCCATGAGACAAAGTTGCGTAGCGCACCTGTTAGTATTTTGTATTGACAGTAAAATATTTCCTGAAAACTACAGATTTTTAATACTCCTTTTTAGTCTGCATGAGGACTGTCACCCTTGGTATCCTTTCTCCTCTTTGGCATTTGTCACAAGTCAGGCAAATTTCTGTTGAATGGCCTTTTACATGGGCCTGCAGTGGCTCCAATCATAAAGGCCAAATGTGAGCTGTGTCAAGAACAGGTGGATCGGGTTAGAGTCTGAGTGAATTGTTTGATTTGAGTGTATACATATCCTCAGGCAAAGTCCCTTGATGAATAATGTTTTTGATGAGATTTGTAATTCAGAGCATGTGTTCTGCCATTGGCCGGACTTTCTATGTATCTGTTTGTCTTTCTCAGTTATTTGCTTTTCTTAACAAACTGTCATTTTTATATTTCCTTGAGCTGAAACACAAATTCACACAGACCATATTTAATTTTTTCTCCACAGTTTGTTGTGATAGCCAGCACCGTTACAGCAACAAGCCTCAAGTATGATGAGTATGTCTTCCCTCACTGGTCTAACGTCATGGGCTGGGCCATCGCCATGTCCTCCATGCTTTTTGTTCCTGTTTACGCCATATATAAATTCTGTAGTCTACAAGGAAGTTTCAAAGAGGTCAGTATCAAAACCTGTGTGAAAAAAGGAAATTTCAGTCATTTAGATGCTAAAGGGTCTACTTAGCCTGTTCGTGTGCAATATGAATACAACAGGATCTCACACACTCCAAATAAGACATTGCATAACCATTCTTAGATGTTGCGATATGAGATACACTACCATGCTGTTTTTTTTTTTTTAAATATATAATTTATAACTATCATTTATCAGTGTACATTCCTGCTGTAAGCTGATGACACAAGTGCAGAGAGAGCACAGCGATTGCATCAAGCCAATGAGGATTTATTGACCCTCATCATCAAAGCATTTTACAGCTATTTGAATCTGTCATCGGTAGTCTTGCCAGCTTCACTCCAGTGTACACAGAACCTTTCCTGTTGTGTAAAGGATTTCTCATTCATCACACTTCCTGGAGAACACTAGCAAAACCAAGAATCGGCCATTCATAGTCAATTATTTATTGAATTTATATGTACAAGTTAAAAAGTAATTTTGTTGTGTTAGTTTTAAAATTTTAGAGTGAACCTTGTATTAGACCAATCCAAAACAACTTTTAAAACAGATATTTCCACTCATATTTTTTACTTTTTATTACTTTGCTCACTGTATTTACTGATCTGTACCTGCTTTGAGTTGAACCACATTTTGGTATTGGAGATTTATGTTAGAAAAAGGGTTAACAGAGTGAGCAAATTTTCCCCTGCAATGTCCAAGTATGACTTATCTTTCAGTCCACGCATGGTTCTTTGCATGCGTGTTTTTAAATTTAGTAGCAAGATTTAATCAGTACCAGTTAGGGATGCGAGGACACACAATTCCCACAACACATGATCCACAAGAACAAAACAAGATAACGTTTTGACATAAATTATAATAAATACATTTTGCACTATTTTGGCCAGACAGTTTATATTTTTACTGTCATTGTAGCACTGTCAAAACATGACTCACCACTGTTATCCCTACTTTTTGTCTAAGCCAGCTTCAAACACATTTTATGGTATGAGATCTTGTTCCATCCCTAGTACCAGTGGAAACTTTTTTGTTACCTCACTTACTGTTTGAAGGTACCCAGTCATAGTGTTGTCTAAACAGTTTTGTTGCTCCTGTTTGTGGTTATTATATGAATGGTTTTAATCCAGATACAGAAGTCTATCAAATTGTACCATCAGTCTTGAATTGATATTGTTGCGTGTTTGTTCTGACGATTCCTAGAAGAAAATGGATATTGACATCTTGCTTTGTTTCTTGTAGCGAATAGCCTATTGCATCACACCAGAGCAAGATTACCACAAAGTTGCAGAGGGGGACATACGCCAGTTTAGAGTAAGTAGCTGTTTTATATTTATCTTTTAAAAAACATACAAAATTTGAATAACTGTGATTCATTTTTTTCCCACTTTCCCTTTAGCTGAAGCATTGGTTAGCCATTTAAAGGTCCAGGTATAAAACAAGACTTAGGATCCGCCCATGCTGCCTGAGGTTGGAAAAGTACTATAATACTAATTATACTACATCATGTGTACTCATTCTAGCTCTTACACAAAGCACACAAATGGGGCAGCACATAGAGAAATGTTTTGATTGTATCTGCAGACATGACTTTTTTTTGTACACATTTTTTTATTCAAGTATTTTTATTTTTTATTATTATTATAATACAGGGTGAGAGTGCACATAGTTATATTACATAATGTTTTGGAAGTTGTATTATTTATTTATTATGCTACAGTGTATTATGATGTTCTTGTTCTTGCCTGTATTGGCAGAATTTCTCATCTGTGTTAGTGCCTTATCAACCAAGACACTTCATATTTTACTGTACAAAAAGGAGAGACAGTTTAAAGTGTTGACTCAGGAACCCACTAAATTCAGTGTGTAGACTGTTATCTGTTGCTTTTCACAGGAGTGTATGGCAGACAGTTGAAGAAAAAAAGTGCCATGTTTACCTGGGTATGTTTCTTGTTGGAACAAGACAATGGTCACATAAAGTTTTAGGATATTTTGTTTTTCAAGACATTTTCCCCTGAATGATGCTGGTGTGAGATGTATTTCATGATACACTCCAGTAATATAACATTTAAAAGCTCTTGTTCTAACAGAAACATACTGTATCAAGTTTAACTGGCAGCCATCCTCTTGAGTTTGTTTTGACCCTGTCCATGTCATTCAAATCTTAAAACAAGGGGTCAAGACCAGGGGAGGAGGAAAGGTTCTAGTCTGCCACAATATGTTAAAAGGGAATTACATCTACAAGCTTTAAAATAACCAAGGAGGGCTTCTTTTCTGGAAAGTAATCTAGATTACAGTTAGACATTATTAGCTCTTTTGGCAATTGCCAATAAATGACTGTTGCTACTGTTGTGAACTGATTTTAGCCTTTACATGTTTGTGTGGAAGAATGTGTGTATTCTGTCTAGTGTATGGAGAGTATTGTCAAAATGTCAAAGTCAAATCTGGTTCTTATGTTATTAACATCCCAAGTCCTGGTATGTGAGAGAAGGTATTTCTCTTTTTTTTTTTTTTTTTTTTTACAAAATGTATTTATTGTAAAAAGATAAATTTAAACCCCTATTTGAAGGAAATAAGCCACAGAGAAGTAAACTAATATATGTGGACTATATAAGAATCTATAAATATATTCTTTTGTTATATCTAAACATACAGGCTATTTATCAAATTGTTTATATCAAGACGTGAATGTAAAGTATTTTAGGCGTAGCTGTTTATTGGTATCACATAGTGTTTGATGTATAAGAAGTATAAGATTCTCCTGTGTAACTCCTGGCTATTTCATCAATTAAGAACTGTGACCAATTACCACTTGGCTTTCCTGGACTATGTTTACAGACAATATTGTGTACAATACCCATGTGACGTCCAGAGTGAGTGACACCTACAGTATCTATGGAGAAGTATGACATATTTACAAATATTAAAATAAAGAATTTCGCTGATGTGACTGTATTCATTTATTATTATATATTTTTAAATGGTGATATTTAGTATATGTGTGATAGGGCGTTTGTAGATCAGCAGTGGCAGCTGTTGAGTGTATGAGCAAGATCTTCATAAATGTATGTGTAGTTGGTAAGATTATTGACGAATGGATGGATTGGACATTACCACAGATTGGCAGCCATGTCTCTTTCAGTCAGCCCCAAGGAAGCTGAGGCTAAAGAAGCTTAGCCAGTATTCACTCCCCAGTGTAGGGACTGAATGAATAATAGGTGCATTGAGTGCATTATCATTTTGTCTTATGGTTATGTGGTTTGCCGCTAAATATACTACCAAACTAAGCAATACACATGGGACCAAGGATTTTTGTGGTGACCATGGAAGATTCTTTAAAAGACCACAAGATTACCCCTGAATTTATTTAAAGCCTATTAAAATCCCCTGCTGTGCACAATGCTGAACAAATGCTTGTTTTTGTATAGCCCTTGCTAACTGATCTCTTCTGTGCTTTTCAGAGCTCTGTCCCTAATGCAACAACAAAGGTCAAAACCACAAGTTTGTATCAGATTTGTTTAGACAATAAAAGTCAAGTGGGACCACTGCAGACTGCTTTGTAATTGTAAAACGAATGCGATTCCTTGTTAATGTGCCTTTAAAGAACCATTCAAATCTAATTTCAAGAGCACAGCTCCATGTGGGCAAGCTAAAGGTGATGTGTTTAAAGTCTGGTAAGCTTACATTTATAATGTAGGCGATAATAGTTAAATACCTTCAAAATGAAGTACTCCAGTTGGACATATATTAGAAAATTATTTAACTCAACAATTTTCCACTGTAGTGTCCAAGTATGCAGTATCTTTATATCCTTGTGTAGACCTTTGAAGACACGTTTTTAAGTTGTCCGGCATGCAGTGTCTAAAGAGCGCCTTTGTAACTGTTTGTCACTTTTCATATCCCATGGGCACACCACTGCATGATTCATGCTTTTCCTGTTTACACCCTAAACCACCTTGACCAGTCAATGGGTTTCTATGAATCAGCAAACTCTGACCTGCTCCCAGGAGTTTGAAACACTGACTATGTTCTGGCCCTCACAAGTTCTGGTAATTTTAGTCATGATAAACTGCAGCTGTTTCATGGACTGAACACCACTGGCACCACTGTCATAACAGCCATAAGAGTTACATTAAACACAGAATCTCTGTATCTTCTGAAAATGAATCAGATTATTGCAATTCACAATTACTTCAGATTAGGCACTGCACACCAAACACCAGCATATCATGCAGTTACTCTAGCTCTTATGGTTCCAAGCAGGAAATGCTGGAGCTTCATCACCTCGTACACAAGTGTCACAGTGAATGTGTTATTTTTGTCTTAATGTAATCACAAACCACAGATGAACAACAAAAGATGAACGACTAGACTGATGTTCATCTTGATTTTAGGGCAACTTTTTACAACAGTCCTTCACACTGTAATGTGCTTTAGTAAGTTATGCATTTTAACTTTTTTCTTCATACACAAAGACACTGCAGTGTCATTTCATCGTCTTGCTGGAAATTTTTAGAATAGGCTCCATTGTAAACTCTTTGCTTCAGCAATGAACGTAAAAAGCAAAGGAGATTTACAGTATTGTGCATCAGATATTGACCCCATTAGCTTGGACCTTGTCAGAAATGACAGAAATGACCATGAATCAGGCTTTTGACATTCTCTCTATGAGAGTGTTGAACACATGCATTAAAGTATTAAAGTAAAGAGTCTTAGTAAGACTTTTTTTTCTTTCTTAATTCTATGTTGTAGTCTGCATTCTGTCATGAGTATGATGTTATCAACTCCATCAGGAGGTTACTTCCTGGGAGGATGGAGCATGTTTGCTGTTTGGGGCTATTTCTGACACAGCATACACATGCCCTATTGTGAAGGTCAAATGTTTGTCAAATGAATTTGTACAACTAGCCATGTGAACTAATTGTAATGTGAAAGATGTGCTATGTCTATATATTTATAGGCCTATATAGTCAGGCTAAAACTGAAGTATGGCCTAAATGACAGTTAATGGTCATATTATAACCACGTTGTTTGGGCCATTCTGTGACAATAATTTCTAGAGGATTTTTATTTATTTTTATTAGATTATTATTGGTGTTTTTATTGCACTAAAATACCTTGAAAACCTGTAAACTGGTACCCAGAGCTATTTGTAACTTGGCCTGGTGGATGAGAGCTATCTCCACCAGAAATCTTGGTGCTGCTATATATATAAGAAAATTGTTCCTTATTGTGTCAAAACAATTGTGATATTATTTTTACTTCGGAAATGATGTGGTATCATATTATGCCTATTCTTTTTCAAGGACTCAATAGTAAGTCCAGGGGTGGTCCTAGGCATGGGCGGACAGGGCAGCCGCCTGGCATGGCATTTCATTGGGGCGGCATAAGCACTTGGAAAAAAAAAGAAAAAAAGAGCGCCCCCTTCTGGTTAAGAATTGTGATAATGTGCACTGCATTGTTAAAATTGGCTACGTGTGAAATATTTTTTGTGTTTGTTTCACCCTTGGGGGCTGCTGTAGTGCAATAGTAGTGCTGTCATGATTGTATTTTCTGATATTTAATAAGCTATACTGAATAATATGCACCTGACATTAATAAAACGTTCTGATGAAAAAAATGTAAAAAAAAATTGTCTCTCACGGGGGAAAGGACTTTTTTGGTCTCCGTGGATGGATGAGCCAGGATGGGCTCTTGCCAGGGGAGTAAATCAATGCAGTCCAACATGTTTTATTATTGACTCAATGGTGTTTTTACACATTTAAATGATGTCTTAAGTTTCAAGATAATCAGATGGTGTGTTTTTGCTAACCATTGTATTTCCATTAAGCAGGCTGCAGGATGCAGGTTTGAAAGAATAACAGGCTGGTTGCTTGACATTCATTGTCCACAGCAGAGCTTCAGAGGAGGGGACCAAGTGAAAGAAAGTTCCCTTGGGGCCAAGTCAAACTAATGATGGCAGCTAAAGGTAATTGGATCGACTTAAGTCTCCTCAGGCACAGTATGAGAAAAGCCCAATCAATGTCAGTGCTAGAGAGATGGGGGTGCTGAACTTTCACATCCAATTAGATTTGGCCAATGTTAAGTACCAGTCAAAATGCAAAGAAACCACTGTTTTGATCAAACGCCCCAAATTACTTCATAAGGCCGATAGTAAACATGGACTGCCACCAAACATTAAGCATTAAGGCACCTTTAAATATTAATGTAACATGAAAATATTGAAAAATAGACTATGAACATTACGGTAAATATGGAGATACAATGTGTTGTAGATTGATAAATTGTATTTTACTATTATGTAAAAAAAAAAAAAAAAAAAAAAAAAAAAAAAAACTTTTGCTGTAATGTGAGGAAACTTGCGGAACATCAGGCCTTTGAAACGTTCGGATACTGCCATCTAGTGGTGCTTTTCTATATGACACGTGTAAATGTTTTCGTGACATATGGCGCCAAAGCTTGTTTTCAGTAGAAAAGTAAAGGCTTTAGCGTTTATGTAATCACTCCTCATTCATGAGTTCTGTGTACCGTAGCAGTAGCAGTAGTAGCAGTAGTATCCTAGTAGTGCTGTCAGAAGTGATCACTACGCAGATTAATTGATAGTAAAAACTAGTTTAAAAACAATACTCTTTTACAATGAGTAGGTCTGCTGATACTGACAAAAGTCACATAATCAGGACAAAATTGGACTTTTCTTGAAAAGAGAATAGTTTGGATTTCAGAAATTTGACCACGTGCTTTCAAACTCCTATTGTTCTGTATCGATAAAAGAGAGTTATCTGTCTGTAGTTTCATACATATATCAGTATCATTTATATATATATATATATATATATATATATATATATATATATATATATATATATATATATATATATATATATATAGATATATAGATATAGATAGATAGATAGATAGATAGATAGATAGATATAGATATAGATATATATAGCTTCGCTTCAGTTCATTAGCAGAATCAGACTATGATGAGTGGCCAGTTTTTTTCAAAGACAGGCTTTATTTTGAATTCAAACATTACATTACACTTTTATTATTATTTTCCACCCAGTATTAACGCAAGTGAACTTTTTGAAATCTTCTGAAAGACCTACTCAGAAGTGGCGTGGTCTAAGCAGTGCCTCGTTATAATAACCACCTTGAGAACAGACCTTTGATGTGGAACCTTTATGGCTCTAAATTAGGCCCTATACTACTGAAAGGCCCAATTTTATTGTGTTATTTAAAGAAAGAGAAGCAATTTGTCATTAGGTTCCCATCCCTTAGCCCCTCCCCCACTGACTGTGCACATCCCAGTTTGTCATAGTTTGATTATTTTCCAGACTGCCACGTTTAGTCTAGTGAGACGCAGTGCCAAATGGTTCAAAGTTTGCTGCAATCAAAAGAACAGAGATAACAGCTTCATCTGACCCAGCATTTTCTCAGCATAATTTCAGGATAAAAGTGCTCCCCTGTCAGAGCTTTTTCTAAGTGGTTAGTGGTAGTCTTTCTAGGCACATTGGAGACCAAAAGACCCAAAAGGGGGCTGTCTCAGGGGCGTGGAGTATGGTAATGGCCCCTGGAGGAAGTGAGCGCAGTCTAGTGGAATGTAGTTGCCATTATAGTGAAGCTGGAACTGGCTAACAAGCTAACTTGCTATGTGGAGTTAGAGCTTGGATACATAGTGATGAAAACATGCCTCATTTTACAGTGGTGCCAGTGAAAGACAGAGGAGAGAGCAGCTATGACAGCCTGGAGGGGGTCAACTGGGTGGATTACAGAGACACTGGACAGGACTACACTGACCATCAAGACACTGTCAGCTCGGATGGTGAGTTAAAACTTTTTCTTTTCCTCCCAACACACACACACACACACC